TCTAGCAGGGCATGCTCACTTCAAAGCCTTTTCCAGCTTTAGCGCTTCTTTCTATACTCCAAACACGGAGGTTCTTAGGGTCACCATCACTCAGTTAAATCTAGTAACAGGAAAAACCACAGTGTAAAAAAAATAACATGGAACCAGGGGTGATGGCTCACACCTGTAATCCCAGCACTTTGGGAGGCGGAAGCAAGAGGATTGCCTGAGCCCATGGGTTTGAGACCAGCCTGGGCAAAATGGTGAGACCTCATCTCTACAATAAGTCAAAAAAGGAGCTGGGCGTGGTTGCGCATGCCTGTGGTTCTAGCTACTTGGAAGGCTGAGGTGGAAGGATCACCTGAGCCTAGCAGATCGAGGCTGCACTGGCTGTGAGCGTGTCACTGCATTCCAGCCTGGGTGACAGAATAAAACAAAATTTAAAAAAGTAACATGAGTGCTTATAATGTTCAGGACTGGTCTTATAGACAGATAATGTCTCACTTTAACCTCACTGCAGTTCACTGGATCTACTGTCCTTGTCTCCCTTTTTCCAGAGGAAGTTGAGACTCAGAGAGTTTAAGTTACTAGCTTAGGGTTCTCAAACTTGCAGACACAACCAGAACTCAGGTTTGTCAGATTCCAGAGTGATCTCTTAACCATCATGCTTTCTATGCTGGCTCTTGAACCTGAAACAAATGGTGAATTATTGTTGAAAATGGCCTCATGATCTAGTTCCCTCATACAGATCTCTTTGGATATGTCATTTCATAAAGCTGGTTCAGGCTTCAGCTCATTGTGATTTGAATTCATCCTTGTCTTGGGGTTCTTGAGGGCAAGCCTTTGCATAGTTCCTTTTTTGGAATCTGGGATATGGAAGCTGACCGGCCTTTGACTAGCCATAGGAAGGAAGAAAGAGCCATGAGCAGCAAAGGGACAAGCATACTGGGACTGGCCATAAAGGAATGAAGCAGATTTTTATTTTGTGGCTGACAAATGGGTTCTAAAGTTGACTGTTTTGAAGGATAACACTCATTTTGATTTGAAAAGATGTGTGTGGAAAAATCTGTTTTGTAACTTTTAATCTCATCCTTCAATCTGTCTGTAACTGATAAGAAGAAGGTTCAATGTGTGAACTTTTACCATATTCTACTCTTATTGGGCAGTTGTGTGGTACTTGCGATTTAATTGAGAAGTTGGTCCTCTGTATGTTTCAGATTGTCTCCTATCTGTTCCGGAGTTCTGTATTTTTGATACTGCAGAGCAACATTTTAATTTAATTTTACTGATTAAATTGTACACTGTGCCAGATATTATGGCATTCCACACAAATGGTGAAGACCGAAGAATGGGAAATTTGGGCCAGGCATGGTGGCTCACTCTGTAATCCTAGCACTTTGGGATGCCGAAGCGGGAGGATTGCTTGAGTCCAGGAATTCCAGACAAGCTTAATCAGCATAGCAAAACCTTGTCTCTACAAAAAATAAAAAACAAAAAAAGCTAGCCAGGCATAGTGGCACAGGCCGATAGTCCCAGTTACTTAGGAGATTGAGACAGAAGGATCGCCAGAGCCCAGGAGGTTGTGGCTGCAGTGAACTGGGATTGTGCCATTGCACTCCAGCCTAGGTAACAGTGAGACCCCAACTCAAAAAATAAAATTTTTTAAAAAGAGTGGAAAATTTGACAGATGTGAAGAAGGTTGACTAATACATTTGAAAGACAGCTAAACATGCCTTGCATGACTGACTTAAGTGCAAAATGAGGTGATGCTCCAGCTCTCCAAATGTGAGCCAGCATTTCACCTGTATGATGCAGGTAGTTTTCAAAGTCCTTGTGGGTGTTATGGCATGAAAAAAGAGACAGCAAAGTAACTATAGCTGGTGTTTCCTGAGTTGGAAAAAAATTTTCCATGGAGATTTCTGTGAAATCCATGTAAGAAGCCCTTTTCTATAGATCATTATGGGGAAACAAACTGAGGTAACAAAATCAACAAGGGGAAGTTAGAAAGTTTTCTGCATCTTTCAGTTTCTTGTAAGACTGCTAGTTCCTGAATCTGAATTTTTTGCTGAGACTATGGAAAGAAAGTCTTCTTCCCATTGTTTTGTTTCTGACTACTTTTGTCCCTATTCAGCTCCCGTGGGTTCAGGCAGTCCTCTCACATCAGCCTCCCAAAGTGCTGGGATTATAGGGATGAGCCACTGTGCCCGGCCTTTTTTTTTTTTTTTTTTAAAAGTCCTGTCTGAAGAAACTCTTCAGCATTCAGCTAGGCACCTGGCCCTAAATGTAGTCTTGAAGATGCAGTCAAAGCCTGCCAAAGTTCCATTTGTCTCAGATGAGCAGTCAGCCACTTAGAGGACTCTGTACTGGGTAGGCCACTGTTCACTGGCTTCTTTGAGAAAGTCATTGCTTTCAGCACTGTTAGAAAGTTCTTTGATATTTTGCCTAAAATGCCACCTCTAAATCTCTTAACCCCCTTGGGGCTACTCTGTTGCTGTTTGTTTTGTTTTTGAGTTGGGGTCTCTGTTGTTACCCAGGCTGGAGTGCAGTGGCACAGTCCTGGCTCACCACAGCCTCAACCTCCTGGGCTCAGGCGAGCCTTCCTCCTCAGCCTCCTGAGTAGCTAGGACTACAGACACACACCTCCATGCCCAGCTAATTTAAAAAATTTTTTTGTAGAGACAAGGTCTTGCTGTGTTGCCTAGGCTGCTCTTGAAATCATGGGATCAAGCGGTCCTCTTGCTTCTGCTTCCTAAAGTGTGGAATTACAGGTGTGAGCCACCATGCCTGGCCATATTCTGAATAAGTCTGATTCTTCTTGTTGACAAGTCTCCAAATGCTTGAGAGCAGTAATCATGTTCTCTCTGAGATGCCTCTTATCTTGGCTAAACAGCCTTCCTTCCTGGAGAAATTTTTCATGGTTTTGAGGCCCCTTTCCCTTTTCTAAATGCCTTCTTCTAAAGTGTGTTACTCAAAAATAAATTTCCAGTGTAATCTAATAAACATGGAACAGGTTAGTCCTCTCATAAATGTACTTTTGGTAAATGTAGTCAAATAACATGTAAGTTATTTTTCCCATAGACCTAGCATACTGCTAACTCATATAGAGTTTACTTGTAATTAAAGATCCCATCCTTTAAAAATATTTTATTCTCTTCCTTGTCCTCTACCATTCAAGTGCAAGAAAATTCACATTTCGTTTTATAAGATTTAACAGCTGTAGGTTATTTTTGGATATGTTTTTGTCATGGTCCCATGTTATCTCTGGCTTTGGTGTCTATTTTCTGTGTTTTCTTTTCTTTCTTTTTTTTTTTTTTTGAGTTGGAGTCTCATTCTTTTGCCTAGGCTGGAGTGCAGTGGCACACTTACGGCCACCACAGCCTCGACCTGCTGGGCTCATGCCATCCTTTTGCCTCAGTCCTCCAAGTAGGTGGAACTATAGGCGTGCACCACCATACCTGGCTAATTTTTTTGACTTATTGTATAAATGAGGTCTCATCAAGTTACCCAGGCTGGCATTGGACCCCTGGACTCAGGCAATCCTCTCGCCTTGGCCTCCCAAAGGATTGCAGACTTGAGCCACTGTGCCTGGCCTATTTTCTGTGTTTTCATCCAGGTAATTAGGGAATTAAACATGCTTCTAAAAATTTTAGACTGGCCTTAGTCTGTCATCTTTTGTGTACTTAGTAAAAACTCATCTAATAATAATCTAATCATCATTGTCATCATCTTTTTTTCATTTTGTTCACAAAGATAGCTTGCAGTCTTGCTACAAGTCTTTCTATTACCTAGACTCATTTTTTATTAACTTTACTGGCTAGTTTAGTAAAACTATCCAAAAGGAAATAATTTTGGTACCATAGGGCTTAGTAAATCCATGCTGGGTGGGCTACAGTGATCACTGCTTTTTCTCAGTGTTTAAAAAGCATCTCTTTGTTATTTCAATGGCTTCTGTTAAGCTTTACTTCATTGCTTTACTGACTTTACTGTTCTGTGACACTCTTCTGTTCCAGTCTCATTATAGCATTATGTGCTAGTCCTTGCATTTCTATTTCTTATTGTTCTTAAACCTGAGCTCATTAGGGAACCCTCTACATTTACCCACACCAATCTGTCTCTTATATCAGAATCATATGAAATTGTTTTGTCAGATTGTTTCTTGAGAGCTTCCTAGCTGTGAAGTCATTCTTAAGTTCTTTCTAAATTAAAAAAAATCACCCGGGCCTGGTGGCTCAAGCCTGTGATTCCAGCACTTTGGGAGGCCAAGGTGAGCGGATTGCCTAAGCCCATGGGTTCGAGAACAGCCTGGGCAACTTGGCAAGACCTCATCTCTACAATAAATCAAAAAATTAGCTGGGTGTGGTAGTGCACACCTGTAGTTCCAGCTACTTGGAAGGCTGAAGTAGAAGGATCACCTGAGCCCAGCAGGTCGACACTGGGGTGCCGTGAGTGTGCCATTGCACTCCAGCCTGGAGTGATGGAGTGAGATTCCAACTCAGAAAAAAACAAAACTACTTAAAAATGGGAAATTAAAAATTCAATTTTCCTAATAAATTTAGACAAATGCCAGTTCTAAACAAATAGTGTTCTAAATTCTGTGTGTTAATAATGTATTGGTTTGCAGCTTCCATTCCTTTTAGTCTTCATCTCTGAATCTGGAACATGTGCCTCATATGACTCTATGTTTGTTTAAGTAGAAAATTATATTCTAATAGTCTTTTAATTTTTTTGGAGGTATATGTGCTATCGATTCCGGACAATTAGTATTAAAAAAACAAATCTGTTTACATGTAAAGTGTCACAAAAGTAGATTTATAGAGTTTTATGGCAGGATCAATGGTGGTGGGAGTAGGGGAGGGAAGAGGCATATTTATTAAATGTATCCTACATGCCAGGTCCTATGTTGGAAGTAATCTAAGTAGTTAGTAATGGGAGTTGGTTGAAATGATCATTTGAGGGCTGACTGAAATGTGGTTTTGGGTTATAATTACAGTGGTATTTATATATATATTTTTCTTTTAAAGGAGAAGTGAGCAGAATGAATACATCACAGGACCAGAATGGCTTCTCCAGTAACAGAGAACCCCTTTTGAGGTGTAGTGATGCACGGAGGGACTTGGAGCTTGCTATTGGTGGAGTTCTCCGGGCTGAACAGCAAATTAAAGATAACTTGCGAGAGGTATGATGTGCTTTTCTCTTCCCTTGTCTGAACTCTTGGCACAGAGCTGGTTAGAACAGATTGCCTTTTGGTACCAACAGAGAAGTTTCATCTCATGCCTTGCACAGTCTACTCAATCCTAGTTGGCTGCCTGACACGTTTGCGCCTTTGATCCCAAGGGAAAATAAGGCAGATGATAGATGAGTCTGGAAAACCCTGTCCCATTCTGGGGGACTCCTTTCAGTATGCATTTTTGATTGCTTCTCTTTGCGATTCCTGTGCCAGGCACTGTCATCAGTAAAAATAATGAAATGAGTGAACAGTATATGCTTCAGCTGCATCCTCTTGCTGAATAACAGATGACACTTCAGCATGCGCCCCCATTATCTTTTAACTTACTAGAGGCATGGTTTTGTAAATGACTTTCTGTTAGGGCAAGCCAGGATGAATTCTCTTGTTAGTTCTATTAGTATTTTTTTGGTGAGTGCTTAGAACAGTATTATGTGACTTTGAAACACAACTTTATTACACAGAAAAATATATTTTAAAATATAATGTTTTATGTGGACTCTCATGGATAATTTATACCTATTTTGTCTTTTTTTCTTGGAATTTTTATGTTTAGTCTTTGTTTGAATCACTGCTTATGCTTCCAGAAACATTTAGTTTATAATTTTACTTAAACTGTCTATTCTAATGGTATTCTAATTGTTGACATGTGGTGGTACGTCGCTACTAAATTGGCCTGCTATAAATGGACTGCTTATTTTGTAGGGTGGGAAAAGAGATAAGGACTTAGCCATTAAGTTAATATTCTGTCTTATTCTGCTGATAAATTTGTATAGGTTTTAAAATTACATGGAAAATTGATGGGGATTAGCATCTCCTGGTATATTCTTGTGTTTTCTCTTGATTACTTTAAAAAACCCAAATTGAACCTAATCCTCTTAGAAGGTGAAGTGTTGAAGGATGATTTCAGTGGGTGGACTTTGAGCATATGTTTTTCTGGGTAGACATTTCATAGATTTTACTGGATAATCAAAAGGGTTTGTGACCCCCTTCAACCCCTCAATTTAATATACTTCACTGTTCTGTGGAAAACATCATACTTTGGGCTAGGAACACTAGGAAGCTAATATGTATGTATTTCCTAGGTCAAAGCTCAGATTCACAGTTGCATAAGTCGTCACCTGGAATGCCTTCGAAGCCGTGAGGTGTGGCTATATGAACAGGTAGACCTTATCTATCAGCTTAAAGAGGAGACACTTCAGCAGCAGGCCCAGCAGCTCTACTGGGTAAGATAGCTCTATGGCTAGAACTGGTTTGAGCTTGGTTTCTGGTTGTCAGAGAGTGTCTTCCATGCAATGCAGCATTAATACAGTTTAGGAAATGTTTTAATCTCATGTGCTGTTGTTAACTTGGATATACCCGGTTCTTTTACTATCATTGTGGCTAGAAGGTTTCATTTTTCTTTTAGTTATTGGGCCAGTTCAATTGTCTTATTCATCAACTGGAGTGTACCCAAAACAAAGATCTAGCCAATCAAGTCTCTGTGTGCCTGGAGAGGTAAAGACCCTTTTTGCTTGTTTTGATTTGACTTCTCTGTTGCTATGATAAGATCATTCTGCTTCATATATTTAATATCATACTTGCTGATACACGATTATGCCAACTACCTTTGGTTGAGTTTCTCAGATAAGTGCAATCATTTAAAATTACTCACAGTTTGGCTTTTGTTTTGGATGAAGGTGAAACAGATATTCCTTATAAATAGCCACATTTTATTTTTTTCCCCCTAGACTGGGCAGTTTGACCCTTAAGCCTGAAGATTCAACTGTCCTGCTCTTTGAAGCAGACACAACTGCACTGCGCCAGACCATCACTACATTTGGGTCCCTCAAGACCATTGTGAGTAATCTTGATCTCAGATGCTTCGTAGGATTCTTTTCAAGTCTGTGGCCTCACAGATGGTCTTCTAAAAAAATTACATTTTTACTATGAATAGTGGCTTTTGGAGAATTTGGTTAGAGCTTTGGAAATTTCATGTTCTGATTAAGTTGATAGAAAATTGGGCTGGTAGTTGTTTGAATGTAGTATTGACTTATGACAGTCTTTGGAATTCATCTTGTGTTTCTAAATGCTTTGACATATTTCTTATAAAATGTATGATTTGAATGGTCTCTTTGTGGCTGTTATTTCTTTGTAAATAAATAAATGGTCTCCTTTGGATCTTGTTAAGAGTGGTTATACTACTAATTCTGGGAAAGATTTCTTTTATGATAGTTAAGTAGTAGATAGTGTACTCTTAAATTTGACAACTGCTTTGTAGGTCATGGAATTAAGTGTGAACACCATTCTAGTGAAATTGTAGTGCTTTGATTAATACTTTTGAAATTAGGGATTAAAATCTAACTTTTGTGGCATGGAAACACAGTATAAATAACATGATTAAATTATCTTTATTTCCTAGCAAATTCCTGAGCACTTGATGGTTCATGCTACTTCACCAAATATTGGGCCCTTCCTGGAGAAAAGAGGTTATATCCCAGTACCAGAGCAGGTGAAATGTTATTTTGTTTCTGGTAACTGAGTCATTACTTGGTTTATATTTCCTTTGGGCTTTGACTAAATCACCTCTTTTTTTCCTTCTATTTATTTGTAAAAAGCTACCAGTGGTAATGAGTTAGTTTATGCAATTGAATGCATCCCTTGAGAATGAATGTCAAATAGAAATTTAGATGTTTTATAGATGCTGAATAAGAGAGACAGTAATTGTTATCAGTTCATAGGAAATTATTAGCTGTCTTATTGTTATTGGTTCTCTCTTGGGAATCCTCTTTATAATTTGTAGAGATAACTATTTCTAAAGGCAATGTGAAAAAGGTTCCTAGATGTTTTAGTCAAGAAGAACCCTAAAGATCAGCTATGCTCCTTGTTTTATAATTATAGAAATTGAGGTTCCAGGATGACATGTGACTTGCCCAGGGTCAGTAGGAAGCCAGGATTAGAGAGTTTGGTTCTTCTGTTTATCTAGTGAACTTTCTACTGCATTTGACATTCCTTGATAAACAGCAAAGTATTATGTGATTAGCAGAAGTCAGCATCTGGCATCACAGCTCTTCCTCTCAGTGAATGGCTCCTTGGAAGCAAACCTGCGGTTGGTCGTCAGGCTCCTTACATACCCAGTACCAATCCCCAGGACTGGCTTACCCAACATCACACCTTGGAGAATAATCAGGTGTGTTGCTGCCTTTTTTTGTTTCTGAGGTAGATATAGTATGGAGTTAGTTACTAACTAGTGGTATGTGTCTTTGTTTGGTTTTTGGTTGTAGTCTGAAAAAATATACATATTATTAATAATTTTTAAATTACAGTAGTGACATCTCTTCATCATAGAAAATTTAGAAAATAAAGAACTTTATAAAAATATGAACCCATAATTCTAACATGAAGAGACACTGTAACATTTTTGTTCATATGCTTTAATGTACTTTAAAAATATCATTGTATAAGTTCTGTTATGTTATAGATTTTTTTCACCTATAGCATGATTATATTTCTGTCATAATTTCTTCTATAAAATCTTTAATAGTTATGTAATATTTTATTGATTGGCTATAACGTAAATTTCATTTTTGGGGGGATATAAGCAAAGCTCCCCTAAACATCCAGGAGCTAGTTGTGTGCATTCTTGATTAGTTCCTTAGGAGTAAATTCTAGAAATTGCATTCCTAGATTACAATTCTGCATACCCTTTAAGACTTTTGATACATATTGCTAATTTGCCTTTCCAGGAAGTTGGTAGCAATTTATATTCCCATCAGCAGAATATTCAAGGTACCTGCTTCCTCTAAACTTCTCTAATGATGTTAGTCATTTGAAAGTTTTTTTCTCGGCTGGGCATGGTGGCTCACGCCTATAATTCCAGCACTTTGGGTGGTGGAGGCGAGAGGATTGCCTGAGCCCAGGGTTCTGAGACCAGCCCGGACAACTTGGCGAGAACTTGTCTCTACAGTAAATCAAAAAATTAGCCAGGCATAGTGGCATGTGCCTATAGCTACTTGGAAGGCTGAGGCAGAAGGATCATCTGAGCCTAACAGGTCAAGGCTGCAGTGACCATGAGTATACCTCTGCAGTCCAGCCTGGGCAACAGAATGAGACTCTGACTCAAAAAAAAAAAAAAAAAAAATTTTTTTTTTCTCTGAATTTCACACAAAATACCAATTTTGCTTTTGAGTTTCTTTGATTAGTATGGAGGTTGAGTATTTTTGTGTTTATTAGGCTTCTTTGATGACTTGCCTGATCATATCCTCTGCTCATTTTTGTTCTTTATTTGTAAAGGCATATTACACAGAGAAACTAGCTTTTTTCTATCAGATATGGTACACTTTTTTCTTAATTTGCCTTTGATCTTTTTCAGTGTTTTAAAAACTACATAAAATAAAGCAAATGTATATATATCTAAAAGAAATCCCTTACCTCTAGGTTTTGTATACTTAAAAACATTGGGCAAGACAGTAAAAATATAGGCTAAATCTTAAAAGCAGTCATAATTGTTTTAACAAACTAATATTGTATACTTCTTGTGTAGATGTCTGCCAGAACCTGCAGTTTCTTCAGTAATGTCTTGGGCAACATAAAGGGCTTAGAAAACTGGCTTCTCAAAAGTCAGCAACAAGTTCCTGAAAAACCAAGTTATCAAAAGTGTAACAGCCAGTCTATTACCAATTCTAACTCCATTGAAATGGAAAAGGTTGAAGATATAGAGCTTCCTGATCAAGATGAGATGGACCTATCTGATTGGCTGGTGACTCCCCAGGAATCTCATAAGCTAGAGAAGCCTGAGAATGGCAGCCGTGAAACCCGTGAGAAGTTTAAGCTCTTCTTCCAGTCCTACAGTGTGAATGATTGGCTTGTCAAGACCGACTCCTGTACCAACTGTCAGGGCAACCAGCCCAAAGGTGTGGAGATTGAAAATCTGGGCAATCTGAAGTGCCTGAATGACCACTTGGAGGCCAAGAAACCATTGTCCACACCCAACATGGTTACTGAAGATTGGCTTGTCCAGAACTATCAAGATCCATGTAAAGTAGAGGAGGTGTGCAAAGCCAACGAGCCCTGCACAAGCTTTGCAGAGTGTGTGTGTGATGAGAATTGTGAGAAGGAAGCTCTGTACAAATGGCTTCTGAAGAAAGAAGGAAAGGATAAAAATGGGATGCCTGTGGAACCCAAACCTGAGCCCGAGAAACATAAAGAATCCCTGGATATGTGGCTCTGTCCTTCCAGAAAAGAAGTAACAGAACAAGCTAAGGCACAAAAGGCAATGGCTCCTTCTAGAATTGCTGATTCCTTCCAGGTCATAAAGAATAGTCCCTTGTCAGAGTGGCTCATCAGGACCCCATGCAGAGAAGGAAGTTCCAAGGAAGTGCCTAGTACTGAGGACAGAACTGGCAAACAAAAGCTTAAAAGCCCCATCACCACTTCCTGGTGTCCCTTTAACACTGCTGACTGGGTCTTGCCAGGAAAGAAGACGGGAAACCTCGGCCAGTTATCCTCTGGAGAAGACAAATGGCTCCTTCGAAAGAAGGCCCAGGTAAACACAGACATTGAAATAGCACTGAGTCTTACTTTCATAGTTCCAAACCTTACAAATGGGCCAGCTCCTTAAATATGTTCAATGTTAAATTTGGCTGAGGTATTAATTTTGGTGCCATGTTAGCAATAGAATGAAGGGTTTGATTATTTAAACTGAATTTTTTGTGCATTTTCCAGGCCCTAAGCCCCTTCCTACAGGAGAGAAAAATCCTAGCCTGTTTTACTGCTAATATTTAACAAAAAAAATTTGGTGTGGAAATAATAATTGCCACCTCTGTTCTTGGTTATTAGAGAGAATGGCCAACTCTTTTTTTGTTGTTGTTTGTTTGTCAGAGTCTCACTCTGTTGCCCAGGCTGGAGTGCAGTGGCATGCTCACAGCTACCACAGCCTTGACCTGCTGGGCTTAGGCGATCCTTCCGCCTCATCCTTCCAAGTAGCTGGAACTATGGGCACAAGCCACCACACCCAGCTGATTTTTTTGATTTGTTGTAGAGATGAGGTCTCACTAAGTTGCCCAGGCTGGGCTTGAACCCCTGGTCTCAGGGAATCCTCTCGCCTCGGCCTCCCAAAGTGCTGGGATTACAGGCTTGAACCACTGTGCCCGGCCTATTCTTACTCTTATTTATTTAATTTTAATTTTAATTTTTTATTTTTAGAGATGTCTCACTCTGTTGCCAGGCTGGTCTTAAACTCCTGGGCTCAAACAATCCTCCCGCCTTGGCCTCCCAAAGTGCTGGGATTACAGGCATTAGCTGATGTGCCCAGATTAAATTATTCTTTATAGTCACTACTTGGAAGATAAGTTGGTCGCATGCCTCATAGTTGTCATGAAGCCACTCACTCTTTTTGTCTTATTGCAGGAAGTATTACTTAATTCACCCTTACAGGAGGAACATAACTATCCCCCAGACCGTTATGGCCTTCCTGCAGTTTGCGATCTCTTTGCCTGTATGCAGCTTAAAGTTGATAAAGAGAAGTGGTTATATCGAACTCCTCTACAGGTGGGTGCTTGCCACTGGTGTGAAAATTACAGATTATAGCTGTTTATAAATAAATGTCTTGTCTTACATATGAAGCCATACTTTGCTCATTGAACCATATTCCTGTTAATGGTATGTATACTAGTCAAGTGAGGCTAGGAGAAGGGCAGCTCATAAAAAGCTCATGTATTTCACTTGAACTTGCTTTATAAACTATCTAGGCATATCTGAAAGTGAACTTTCAAGATGTAACTGTTAGGAATTTTCAGATCCTGTGTGGATTCTAGTAGATTATAGGATATACCTTGAAGATAATACAGGTCTGGTTCCAGTAGAGGAAATAAGCTATTTGTACAGAGTTTCCTTCTCACAATTCTCATCACACACACACACTCTGCAAAGCTTGTGCAGGGCTTATTGGCTTTGCGTACCTCCTCTACTTTATGTGGGTCTTGTTGGTTCTGGACAAGCCAATCTTCAGTAACTAATAAAGTGAATAATCCTAATAAAGCAGGTTACTCACATGTTTGGTTTCTACTGCATATAAAAGTCACATATATATAAAGTTACATATATATAATATGCTGTAGTCTGTTAAGTGTACAATAGCCTTATGTCTAAAAGCAACAACATAATGCCTTAAAACATATTTTATTGCTAAAAAAATGTTAACAATCATCATAGCTACTAGCAAGTTGTAATATTTTTGCTGGTGGAGGGTATTGCCTTGATATTGATGGTTGCTGACTGACTAGGGTGGTGGTTGCTGAAGTTTGGGGTGGCTGGCAATTTCTTCAAATAAGACAACGGTGAAGTTTGCTGTATGTGACTCACTTTTCTTTTCATAAACGATTTATTTGTAGCATGTGATCCTGTTTGATAGCATTTTATTCACAGGAGAACTTTCTTTCAAAATTGGCGTCAGTCTTCTCAAACCCTGCCTTATTAACTAAGTTTATGTAATATTCTAAATCCTTTGTGGCTATTTCAAGTGTCCACAGCACCTCCACCAGGAGTATTCTTTCTCAAGAAACCACTTTTTTTACTTATTCATAAGGAGCAACTCATCTGTTCACACTTTATGAAATTGCAGCAGTTCCGTCCCATTTCAGGGACTCCACCTCTAATTCTAGTTCTCTTGCTGTTTCTACCACATCTGCAATTACTTCCTCAACTAAAGTCTTAAACCCCTCCAAGTGATCCATGAGAGTTGGAATCAGCTTCTTTAAACACCTGTTAATATTGATATTTTGACCTCCTTCTATGAATCACAAATGTTCTTAATGGCATCCAGAATGGTGAATTCTTCCTGGAAGGTTTTCCATTTTCTTTGCCCAGATATATCAGAGGAGTCACAATATTTGGTAGCTAAGGCTTTACAAAATGTATTTCTTAAATAAAATAAGACTTGAATGTATAAATTACTCTTTGATCCATAGGCTGCAGAATGGATTTGTGTTAGCAGGCATGAAAACATTAATCTCCTTATATAGGTCTATCAGAGGTTTTGGATAACCCAGGTGCGTTGCCAATGAGCAGTAATATTTTTAAAGTCATTTTTTTTTTCTGAGCAGTAGTTCTCAATAGTGGGCTTAATTCAGTATAATGTCTGGGTGTGGTGACTCAATTCTGTAATCCCAGCACTTTGGGAGGCTGAGGTGGGAGGATCACTTGAGCCCAGAAGTTCAAAACCAGCCTAGGCAACATACCAAGACCTCATCTCTACAAAAAAAAAAAAGCCAGTTGTAGTGGCACATGCGTGTAGTTCCAGCTACTCAGGAGGCTGAGGCAGAAGTGTTGTCTGAGCCAGAGGTTGAAGCTGCAGTGAGCCATGACTGTGCCACTGCATTCCATGCTGGGTGACAGTGAGAACCCAACGCAAAAAACAAAAAAATTTAGTAAACCATGCTGTAGACAGATGTGCTGTTATTCCATTCTATTCTTTATGGAATTGCAGCAGTTCAGTCCTATCTTCGGGCTCTACCTCTAATTCTAGTTCTCTTGCTGTTTCTATCACATCTGCAGTTACTTCTTTGACTGAAGTTTTGAGCTCCTCCAAGTGATCCATGAGGGTCACTTGTAGGATAGATTCAGCATAATTCTTAAGGGCCCTAGGATTTTTGTAATAGTTATATGAGCATTGGCTTCAACTTAGTCATCAAGCTGCATTAGACCCTAAAAAGAATCAGCCTGTCCTCTGAAGCTTTGAATCCAGGCTTTCTTTAGCTACCAAAGTCCAAATGGCATCTCTTTCCAGTAGAAGGCTGTTTTGTCTACACTGAAAATCTGTTTAGTGTAGCCACCTTTATAAATGATCTTAACTAGATTTGGATAATTTGCTGCCTCACTTGGCACTTTTAGTTATAGAATTGGCTTCTTTCCTTAAGCCTTATGAACCAACCACTGCTAGCTTCATTTTTTTTCCTGCAGCTTACCTATCTTCATTAAATTGAATTTAGGGCCTTGCTCTGGATTAGGTTTTGACTTTGTTCTTCTACCTATACTACTAAAACTTTCTCCATGTCAGAAATATGGCTTTTTGGTGTGTTCACTGGAGTAAGCAACTTTTAGTTTCCTGAAGGAATTTTTTCCTTTGCACTCACAACTTGGCTATTTGGTATAAGATGTCTGCCTTTCAGCCCGTCTTGGCTTTCAACATGCCTTCCTCACTGTGCTTAGTCATTTCTAGCTTTTGATTTAGAGTGAAGGATGTGGACTTTTTCAGTTGAACACTTAAAGAGGCCATTGTAGGTTTACTAATTGGCCTAATTTCACAATTTTTCTGTCTCGGGGAACAGGGAGGCCTGAGGAGAGGGTAGAGACAGGAGGCAAGGCTGGTTGGTAGAGCAGTCAGAACACACATTTATTGAAGTTTACTGTGTTCTTTGGGTGCAATTTGTGGCACAAACCTTTAATCTGTAAAAAACACAGTATAATGCGGTATGCCCGTATTGAGAAATGAGTCATTAAGGTGAAATTTGTTTCTCCTGTGAAGTAACTTTCTTTTCTGTGGGCGTCTCTTTACAGATGTGAAGGAATGGACAAGAGTTGAACAGATTTTCTGAGGATTATCACACATCCACGAGCTGAGTGACTGCGGCTTGCCAAATCATTGTGTTTCTGGGTCTGACCAGTCAGTTTAGTTCCTTTCCTACCTACTTTTGAACTAGTGAAGTGAAATAAATCATCAGTTTATGAGTTATCATTTAAAAGAAAAAGGCTATTTTTGATGCTGAGGTGATTCAGTTCCTTCTTAAAGAAGTATTAATTCACCCCCACACTAGGAATGCAGCATCTTGGTGGATAGGTCTTTTTCACAAGCATCCAAGGCTCTTTAGATTGGGTTGTTACTAGAAGTACATTAAAACACTAGTTTTAAAAATGAAATTTCTATAATCAAAGTGTATTGATGTGTTCTAAAGCTAGTAAACTTCCCTAACTTTTAATCACCCTTTAGATGCTTCTCTTGCTGTGGGTTTTCTTCAACTGGTGGTCTGAATAAGTTTCCTGTTCCATTACTATATGTTTTGCACAAATAACTAACTTTGCCTATATAGTTACTATCAAAATGTGTATTAATAACCTTGGCAATTTCTGACATTACCAAACATTTTAGCCTACATGTCAGTTCTACATTTTTCATTTGAAAGAAATTCACTTATTGCAAATTTTATCTTTCTCCAAATGTTACTAAAGTATCCAGTGAGTTCTTTTAGAAGGACTCTCTATTGTTTCAAGACCACTTTCAGGGTACTTCTAGCTTCTTTCCAAATATTCTACATACCCATAGGGTTTAAAAGAGCCCCAGTGCCAACTAAGTGCAAATAGGGAAGATATGGTAAAAATGTAGTATAGTACTTGAACCATTCACTATTCTAGGGATTATTGGTGCATCCTGTGTAATGAAAGCTGAGCTTGACACCTGGTGCTTTTAACTAGGAATAAAGTTGTCCTCTTACTGCAAGCACAGCATACCTGTACCTCCAAAAGTACGATGCAGTGACATTTTAGTGAACAGGCCGTTTTCAACACTTGTGCCTTGAGGTGTTCATTGAAGCTTTATGAAAACTATTGGTTTTCTCAATATCCTTAAAGTTCATTTCCATGCTTTAAAAAGTCTCTGTAGGAGAAGTGGGATTCATGTTTTAAAATTCTCTAATGTTTTAAAATTCTTTTTGCTGTTTTCCAGGCTTTGAAACTATTAAACCTCTTAACTGCCTGTTTGTTGGAAATACTTTTGGGGACATTTCATGGGCCTACAATGCCATTGCCATACAGCTTCACTGGAGTTCTCTGAACCACAGCTGAAAGAGCCTCGTATTATTTTTTAATACTCCCCAGATACCATTTAGAACTCTTATAATAAAGGTGGTGGGTATACACTACTTAAGGAGCCTTTCCAGAATCTTAGGTTGCAGCAAACTTTGTAGTTTCTTGAGGCCTGACACACTGTATTTTACATTCTCAAAATGTAATTTACATTAATCACTATGTTAATGAGTATGTAAAACATTCTTTTGCATTGATGCATTTTGTACCAGCTTCCATTAAAAGCATAATAGCCATAAGTTGTCAACTGCATTTGTAAAACTATTTGTCACAAAATGTGCTGTTATATAAATGTGATAACCTTTGTTGGAGTATAGCTGAGAAACAACTTGAACATAAAGTGCATATTCACCAATTTACAATGTATTTTGAGTCTTAAATCAGTCAAGAATAGGCATATTATTACTTCCATTCTCAGCCTTTTCTGAAAACTCTTCATGTCTGCTTTAAAAAACAATGATGAGACTTCAGCTAAAGTTCAGTGCTTTTCTTCTGGATTCCCTTACTAGATGTCTTACCAGAAAGATCCTATTTTATTTTCTCTAATCATATAGCCGTAACCTTCAGTGTATTTATACATGATTAACTTCATATTGTGAATGAGAAAACAAACTCAGAAATTGAACAACTTGCCCTTATTTCCTTCACTTTTCCTAAGATTTCCTTGTATACCATCTAGCTGTTAATTATTCCCAGTAGGGAGTAAGTTAATATGTACAGAATTAAGCATGATTGCTGGACAGATTATTCTAGCACTTTACCCTAATGGTGTAATGGTTAACCTGAAATGCCTTGAGGTTGTTTGGTGTCAATTCTGTTGGAGAAAAGTCTTACCCTAACTGTGAAAGCCATCAGGATCCCTTCATTTTTTTATCTGAATTCAAGTCTCACTCTGTCACCCAGACTGGAGTGCAGTGGCATGTTCCCAGCCACCACAGCCTTGACCTGCTGGGCTCCGGCCATCCTTCCGCTTAGCCTTCCAAGTAGCTGGAACTACAGGCACGCACTACCACACCTGGCTAAGGACCCCTTTATTTCAGCAAACATGAAAGCATGTTGTTTTGGCCTAGTTGGGGCAGAAAAAAATGCCAAGAGTAACTTCCACTTTATATGTCCAGGCAGATGCTTTTAAATGGAGATACCTACTATGTTTATATTGGAGTGATAACTGGTTCTGTTTTTACCCTTTATTCGGAATACAGTGCAACATTACAGTTTTAGATCATTAAATGAACAGACTTGGTGATAAAAGTATTGACAACAAGCATGACCTGAATTTTTGGAGTAAGTGGTTTTCCAGTTCAGAGGGGAAGAAAGAGAACAGAGAGATGCAAGATCTTCTCCAAAGTAGAAGAAAACCACTTCACTCAGTGAGCCACCTTTGGCTTCAGCTCACTAATGGCTGGAAGAAATGCCAGTCCTGGGTCAACCATCTTCATCTTCATCACAGCAAACCAGAATCTCCAATTTTTCAAACTAATTGTAGGTAGAAGAGAGAGAATAACTCCAGACTGACTTATAAATTGATCTGGATGACTACTGAAGTGTCCTTCATTCATGGGTTGGCAAAGCCTTCAGAGTGACTGTTGAAGCAAGGAACCCTTCATGTGCTCCCAGTTATTATATAGTGCATAGAGGCTGGTAAGTGTTAGTCCTGTCAGACCACCTCGTGCTACCCCTCGAAGACCACCTGGGAAAGAAGGGAAAAAAGGGAAATGAAACAGCCTTATACAGTATAGCGCTCCAGCATCAAAGTTAAGAGTACTGTAAAGTGAAGAGAGACAATTTTAAAATAAATATTCCATCTCAAACGAGAATAAATTTTAAAAGTGATATAAGAAACCAAGACTTCAGTCCAGCAGATAAATTCCCAAGACCACCACATTTATGACTTGATATTTTTTCATATTCACAACTTTTTCACTTTCTAACTTGTTCCCACAGCAGTTTATTGAAATTCCAACCAGATCAATCATTTCCTGTTAGTCATATAATTTAGAATTTCACTAGCATGGTCAATGGATTTAAGGCCATAATGAAAACAAGGTGATATCCAACAATCTTTGGACTCTGGACAGGTCCTCCAAATATTAACTTTGAAGACTCAAGAAGCAGTAGTGATAAGATGGCTATAGTCAGAATTTGAGTTAGGTACTAATGACCCCCAAGTCCCCACCATTCCCGCACTGATGCGTCCATCTCCCACAAGTCATAAAGAGCCTAGTATCACCATACTAGTTGAAAACTACTACTGCTTGACAACAAACACTTTTTCATGTAGTAAGAGACATTTCATTTCAGATGCAGAATAAAAATGTTTCAATTTGTTATTTAAAAATAAGGAAGCTACAAATAAATTCCTCAAAATAGAAAATGCCTCATTGTGGGCTTGTGGTTATAAAATGTCAGTCTTGTAAACTTTATCTGGTGAAGAGAAACCAAGCTAAGAAACTTCCCAGGAATGGGGGGGGGTGCCCAAAGAAGCTTTTAAAAAATGTGATGTTCTCTAACTCCACAAACAAGTAGGGATCATAAATTTCAGGTAGCCAACTTTGTACCTACAGTGTATTTGTCCCAAGTCATGTGTTAGGGAGACAAAGGTGAAGAGCTGTGGTTGAGGTTCTTTAGCTCCATGCCAGTTGATTCTGTTGCTGAGTTAGAACACTGTTTCTGCAATGAGTGTCCTACAAATGGTTTCAGCTGATAGGCTAAAGGGCCACTCCCTCCAGTCTGAAGACTCCTGATAGCTGACCTGCTTGAGCTTCTACTAGGAAGTGCCAGAACTCTCTTACACAAACCCGAAGAGAAACTGCAGACATCATCTATAAATAGCTGCCAAATGTATGATAGGGGAATCAAAAACATTAAAAAACCCACTAATCAGAGTAAATGGGTATCACCTTGAAGTTCACATCATCTCTCTGTATCTTTGAATCACTTTGCCACAGGCGTGGCAGTTCAATTTGCAACTGTGTTCAATGTGGTTGAAAAATTATAAAAAATGGAAAATAACGTACACTCAATCTGCTAAGTAAAAACAATCTGTTCAGTTTAATAAGGATCAACCTCATGTCTTTAACTAGTAAGTCCATAAAAAGCTGTAGAGCTGAAAGTGAACTATAATTAGAACCAGTTCCTAAAGCGGAAAAAATAAACTATTAGGCACAGGAAAATAAACTCTAAAGGCATCCACAACAATATCTCTATGGCTCAGTTATCACACCTAACTTTGAGTGTAATAAGGGTTCTTTCAAGTACGCTGCAGAAATGTAGTATATTAAACTCCATTCTGAATCAACATAAAACCAAGCAACAAGCCAAGATGCCCTCACAGCTGTTAGTGGAAAAATGATGGAGGGCAGGTAATTAAAAACATAGTAACTTTGCAGACACCATTTCTTCCCTCCACACATTGAATTTCAGACTAACTCCCCTGGACTTCTTGCTGATAACAGATCCACAGGTCTATGAGGTCCGCCCATAGCTTTAGAAAGAGGCAAACCATTGCTTCCAGCTGGCCTTTTACTTTGCACATTCTAATATGGTTTCTACTAGGTTCTTGTGGAAGTACTTTCGCTCTAGTACTCAGCTATCAGATTACAAGCTTCCCTGAGAAATCCTCTGTGGCACAGGCACTACGGGTAACATAATACAACAGGATCCATAAGGCTTTAAAGATCTTTGGGACACCAGTAACATCTTAAATAATCTATTTGCCAGAAAGCTTTCCATTTTCTTTTTTGATGAGAAAGCAGGATTTATTGAGAGGACAGAAAAGCTCCCAGAGCAGGAGAGGACCCAAGTGAGTTGCCCAAACTTTCTATTTTCTAACCAAAATGATCTTAGTTCAAATCAGTGAAGTTACTTCTTAAAGGCAAGAAAGCAAGCCAGGCTCAGTGGTTAAGCCTGTAATCCCGTGCCTTGGGAAGCTGAGGTGAGTGGATTGCCTAAGCCCGCGGGTTCGAGACCCACCTGGGCAACTTGGCAAGACCTCATCTCTATAATAAATCAAAAAATCAGCCGGGCGTGGTAGCGCACACCTGTAATTCCAGCTACTCGGAAGGCTGAGGTGGAAGGATCGCTGGAGCCCAGCAGGTGGAGGCTGCGGTGGCCGGGAGCGGCCACTGCACTCTAGTCTGGGCGACAGAGTGAGACTCCAACTCAAAAAAAAAAAAAAAAAATAAAAAAATAAATAAATAAATAAAGGCAAGAAAGAAAAAAGTTATCTCCAGTGAGAAGATACCAAACATCAAAAGTGTACTTACCACATGGCTAATCCTAACTCAAGGGTAGCCTTTATCATATAACCATATCTGGATTTTAACTGTTTCCATTAATTCCAGGTTTTCCCAACTGGTTGATTTGTGGAAAAGCTTAAGGGCCTCTACTTTAGGCTTTCTGTAATCAAACAACTCTGCCCAACTAAGCACAGAAAGTTGATACGCAAATGTACTTGCTTCGAACAGAGTAGCCAAATAAGGCCAAAGGTCAATTTCTATAAAGCAAAACACACATAAACACACTTGTGTTTCAGTTTTACCTTTTATCTTTTGGATCTTTACATAATTCTTCCAGAGAGAGAGGGTGATATTACCTATTTTAAACATAGGAAAATGAGGCCCAGAATATTTAAGTGCCTTGTTTGTGGGGCTATAGAGCTGGTTAGTGGCCAAACTAATGGATAGATTAACACTCCTTTCTTTTTTTGAGTGGGTTGAAGTTCTCATCCTGTCACCCACGCTGGAGTGCAGTGGCACGCTCACGGCCATCGCAGCCTTGACCTGCTGGGCTCAGGTGATCCTTTGACCTCAGCCTTCCAAGTAGCTGGAACTACAGGCATGCACCACCATGCCCGGCTAATTTTTTTTATTTATTGTAGAGATAAGGTCTCACCAAGTTGCCCAGGCTGGTTTTGAACCCGTGGGCTCAGACAATCCTCTCATCTCAGCCTCCCAAAGTGCTGGGATTATAGGCATGAGCCACTGCGCCCAGCCTAGCAAACTGTTTTTAAAAGGGCAAGATAAACAGTTTAGGCTTTGAGGGTCAGACTATTATATAGGCACTTATATAACTATTAAAAAAAATGTTAAGCACAATCTTAGCCTTCAGATAGTGAATAAACAGGCAGCTGGCCAGTGGGAGTTAGTGGTCTCTGCTTTAGAGGAATAGCCTTATCTACACATTGAGATGGCTAAGTACTACTCTGGGGAGACTGTTTAACTTTTATTCTGGGCACTGTGACTCAAGGCCTAGAATCCCAGCACTTTGGGAGGCCAAGGTGAGAGGATTGCCTGAGCCCAAGGGTTTGAGACCAGTCCGGACAACGTGATGAGACCTCATCTCCACCAAAAAAAAAAAATATATTAGCCAGGTGTGGTGGTGCATGCCTGTAGTTCCAACTACTTGGAAGGCTGATGCGGAAGGACCATCTAAGCCCAACAGGTCAAGGCTGCGGTGGCTGTGAGAGTGCCACTGCACTCTAGCCCAAACAACAGAATAGCACTCCAACTCAAAAAAATAAAATTGTGGTACAATATATGTAACATAAAATTTACCATGTTAACCATTTTAAAGTGTACATTTCAGTGGTGTTAAGTACATTTGCATTGCTGGGCTACTACCACCATCTATCTTCAAAAAACTCTTTTCTTCCTGCAAAGCTGAAGCTTTATCTATTGGACAATTACTCCTTAATCCCTCTTCATCTACCAGTCTATATTTTCTCTCCATGAACTTGACCCGTATATGAGTAGAATCACACAAAATCTTTGTTTCTGTAAATGGCTAATATTACTCAGCATAATGTTGTCAAGTCTCATCTGTGTCACTACTAGATTGCTTCCACATTATGGCTATTTTGAGTAATGCTGTTATGAACATGGGTATGCTAAACACCATTCAATCTTAAAGCATAATCAAAGCCTTAAAAGAGCTAAACCAAAATGGCCTGGGGGGAGATCAAATATCAAATTTTGATCTAAGAAAAGGAATTAGTATTCACTGATTTATAAATATGCTTTCAGCAATAAGCACTTAACACAACTTGTTTCATTTAACATGCACCATAATCCTATAAAGTAATAATCACACCCCAGGTTTTACTTTTTTAAAATGAGTTGGATTGTTACTCTGTTGCCCAGGCTGGAGTGCAGCTACACGATCATGGCCTCCATAGTGGCCTCCATAGCCACAACCTGCTGGGCTCAGGAGATCCTTCCACCTCAGACTTCCAAGTAGCTGGAACTATAGGTGTGTGCCACCATGCCCAGCTAATTTTTTTATTTATAGTAGAGACGAGGTTTTGCGAAATTGCCCAGGCTGGTCTTGAATTTCAGGGCTCAAGCAATCCTCTGTTCTCTGCCTCCCAAAGTGCTGGGATTACAGGCATGAGCCACTATGCCTGACATACCCTAGAGTTTTATAGATGATCACGGTATTAAGATGTACAACGTATTTAGATACAAGAGGGGACCCCAAAACACCTAGAATTTATTTATAAAAAATAGTGTATTCTTCAATGTTTAAGCTTTAGTCACCTTCAAAGTTGTCTCCATTTGATTCAGTACACCCACTGAGATGCTTTTTCCATGCTCAAAATAGTTTTTGAACTCTTCAATTTTGATACCATTTAGTGCTTCTGCCATTTTTTGTTTCACTTCTTCCATGCTGGCAAAACCTTTCCCCTTGAGG